TTTTTCAATTTTTTCATATTTCTGCTACACTCTAATGTATGTAAAGTAAAAGGTATAAGGTTAAATTATATAAATTCACAACATGTTAATTTTGAAACAATAAAGGATTTATTATTATCAACCAGTGAAAATGAAGGTGAAGAAAGAAAAATGGAATTGGAACACTCAATGATTCTTCGTCAGTATAATAGTGTTGTGTACACAATTACAAACAAAACGTACAAATACGAAATAAATGCTACCAAGCGTCGTCGGTTAGTCGAAAATCCTATGGAAACATTACCATTTGGTCATATATAGTTGCAATTTTGTCGCATCACCTTCTGTGATGTTCATAACATAACAATAAGCAATGTAGAAAATCCAGGTAGAAATAATAAAACGAAAGAAAAAAGTCACTGTTGTTTTATTTTCAATGGTCAAAATACTTCTTTTTTTGTTTGTATGTTTCATTTTCAGTTTTGACTTTAACCATTCAAGTTCAAAATGAGTGAAGCTAACCAACAAGAAAACGAGCAAAATAATAATATTTTTTTAACATTCAGAATGAAGAAACAAATTGCAATTCTTGCAATTGAATTAAAAGTTCTGATCGAGAGCAACAAAAATCAGGGTAAGTGAATAAAAATTAGTGAAAAAAATTGAGTTTGTTACACTCAATAATTATTGAGTGTAAATTGTGATTTTTTTCTATTTTTCAAAATAGTGGATCATTTACGTTCATTCATCGAAGGTGTTTTCCCAAGGGATAAATATTTTAAAGTGTTGAAGGGATTTGATTTGTTTTTTTCAACCGTTGAACGTATTTATGAAGATGTGGTTTTTTTTTTCAATGGATCGAGAAATGGATAATTTCATAAGCACACCAGATATGATAATAGTTTCGATTCAAATGAAGCTGTAAATGGTTATTACATTATTATTATGGATATTATTATGGAATTACAAAAGCTGTAAATGGTTATACTGAAATATGTAAGTAAAAGTGTGCATTTTAAATTTTTGTTCCATATTTAATTAGGTAGGGTCCTTTAATTTCTGGTGAAATAATTTACTACTTAGAAATTTAGAAATAATTCCTGTTGCTAGAAATTAATTCCGGATTAATTCCTAGGATTTGTTTTTACAATTATACATTTTTAGTGGAATTAATTTCTATCTAAAAGATACTTTGAAAATAGATACTTTACACACAAAAAATAAACCTGACAAATCATTTTAGGATTCCTATTAAAATATTAATTTGTAAGGTTTCCTTATAATATGGCAACATTTTATTAGGAAACCTTTAAATAATAAAACATGTTTTGTTTCAACACAGTGAAGTTGGCTTTGACGTTTAAGCGCGCCAATTTATCAGGATTCCTGTTAAAATATTGCGATTTTATAAGGAAACCTAACAAATTCATTTTTTAATAGGAATCCTAAAATAATTTGTGGGGTTTATCTCTTGTGTGTATAGATAATTCCCCCTAGGCTGTGATATTAATTGATAATCGATGTAGCACTTGACCAGAAGACTACAATATCTGACTTTAACAATATTTCACTGAATCTAGGGGGCAGACACGTGGAATAGGATTAGACTTTTAGTGTAAAGATTCGAGAAATTGCAATGAAATAGCAACACCTGTGAATGGATTCGCGTGGAATAGCGAAACAGTGCATGGAATAGCAAAAATTGTTTCACTTCAAATCCATTTGACAGTTCTTTTGACGTTTATTGATGGATTAGTGGAATATTGCGGAATAGCAGAATTAATATTTTTGATGGAAACAGTGCATGGAATAGTAAAAATAGTTTCGATTTTATATTTGTGTTTTTGGATTAGTGGAATAGCTGGATTAGTAATTTATATAGTGGATTCGGAATTTATTCTTGGTGTCTCCCCCCTAGCACTGGATATTTATACGGAAGGAAGTGTCAAGGTTCAAAAGATAACATCAAAGAAATTATCACTTCGCGAAATAAATTCAAATATCTTTGCACCATATAAATGCTAGAAATTCGCAACAGTAAGTGGTGTACTTATATGACAGGTACGTAGCGAGGTTATATAGCACTATAGAGGTTTTCAGAGTTCACTCCTGTATGATTTTATTTTTTGATATGTGAAAACGTCCGTTTATCATTGTTTCCCCTATTCGCTACATTGAACGATAGCGTGAACATAATTTTCTTCACTAAATTTCAGCTCCTGACGATATCTGGCTGAGCTGATTCATCTGGCTGAAAATATCTCATTATAATGTCTGAATAAAACTTAAATTTGTTGAAAAAGGAATGTTGGGATCACACACACACTTTATCGCATTCCAAAATGGTATTCCTTAACAGCGAAAATTGAGATTTGGTAGTAGCAGCGGAGAGAACAACACACAAAGAATCAATGTTGTACACACAATAGCATTGCATCGGAACAACGTCACAACGACGACAACATGGCGACGCAAACGGATAAACGAAAACTGTATCAACAGCAACAAGAAATCACATTCGGGTAAGTTCGTTTGAATATTCTACTCTGTTGTCATAATTGTCATGTTTTGCATAGTAGCTAACGCATTCGCTGTTCAATATCGGCCACTGTCAACGACAAACCGATTTGAATGTGTTGGTGTGAGAGTGTATTTGATTGCGACATTTCAAACCAACAAGTCGGCAACAAGTCACATCGTCTTGAACCATCATCAGTGTAAGAACTAAAATTGCTGCGCATAAATTTTCAGTTTGCATTGAAAGTGAAATATTCTCTCGAATTGGATTTTTGTCGGTTTTTCCAAAAAAAGTGTTCGGTAAGTATTATTTCAAAATATAATATTAAACAGAATTTTCGAATTTTTTTTACAAAAAATTGACTGCATGCTAGAATTAGATTGAGATAGAGAGAATACAATACAAAATCATGTTCAATTATGAATTTCATCATTGCACACAGTGGATTACGGGTACCGCTAGCCAATAAAGCGACGCAGTTTCTTATGATTTTTCAAAGTCTACTTTGACAACGATATGCAATTGAATATTTTTTAGATTGATTTTTTTCATATTTAAAAAAAAAAAATTTTTGTTTTCAACATTTATCCATTGGCAAGAATATAATGTAATTTTGTGTGTGCTGTTTTTCTTCTCTCACATTTCATTAGCAATAGCCAGCAATGGCCAGTATATCCAGCGAATACGATGATTCCGATGAAGACGAAGAAGAAGAAAAAGAGGAGGCGAGAGACAAAGTTTTGGCCAAGCGTATTCATTTCAACGAGGTAAGTGCATTTGAATCAAGTTCATTCATGTC